TAGATTGGGAAGTGCTCACACATAACCAATAAGGTGGTGGTTTTAAATCCCTTTTAATCTCACTGAAGCCACCTTTAAGGAAGAGCCCAGGGGCACAGCCATATGAGGAGATTGGGTTTTCTAGAAACCTTCATCTCTCGTGATTTCATGGGTTTAAACATGTGCATTTTCTAAAACATTTTAAACACCAATATGAAAGATAAGTAGGTGGCTTGAGTCAGTATGGGTTTAGCTGTGACATTTTTACTGAGGGGGATGGACTGCAGTCTTCTAGACTGGAGATACTGGGAGGCAAAGAGGTCCAGGCTACATGTGAGTATGCTGTCAGTCATCCACTCTGTTCCATTCCTAGGACTATTTTATGGTACAGAGTATAAATAAGATTTCCCCAGGAAGGCCATCAGGGCCCATGCACCAAGCACAGGCCTCCCCGCCTGCTAACCTACTCCCTCAGATCTGACCTCTAACCTTGTCTCTCACAGTTCATATTTTAACTCAGGGCTCTGTGTTCTGCAGAGTCAAGGTGGGCATCTGCCAAAACTTAAAGCGAATTTAGAAACTCTCTCCAGCAGGGAATGGCCCTCCATGCCCTGTTCATGCCCACAGGTTCCCATGGAAGCTCAGAGAACAGCAAATAGAATTGTCTGACACCCGCCCCAGAGCAGATACTAGGTACATCGGCCACACAGCTAGATGTGAGTCATCTCAGCACACTTGTGAGACACGAGAGAAGAAAGTAAGGTCAGGACTCGGGTTGTTCAAAATGAGGGGAAAGGCCACAGAAAGAAGAACTAACGTGACCCACGGGAAGGAAAAAGGCCTAGCATGTGTGTGTGCGCGAGGATCCAAGATGGCTCAGAAAGTGGAGGCATCAGCCACCAAGCCTGAGTTCAAGTCCCAAGACCCATGTTCTCCTCTAACCTCTGACCTCTGACCTCCACAGGTGCACCATGGCTTGCATGCAAACGAACAGATAAGTTAATGTAAATATGTGTGCACTTCAAATCCTCCGCCCACCCTAACCTGGGTGATTATTAACTGATGAGTGATTAATTTTTTTGAGACAGAGGGTGGTGGGGGGCGCATCTTGCTTGTAGCCCAGACCGTTTGCCTACAGGTCTGGCTTCAGATTTGTAACATCCCTCTGCCTCGGCCTCCACAGTGCTGAGATGACAGATGTACCCCTGTACCCTCTTGAAAGGTCACTTTCAAGGGACGGGCACCTACCAGTTTGGGTCACATGCTGTTCCTTGACCACACCCCATTTTCCATTTTAAACTTAGAAGGCAGCAAAGCTCTCAGATCCTCCCTGTGTGGCACAGACATTAGTCTCTGCCAGCGCCTTGCTGATGAATGACCCTTGACCTCGCTTCCCTGGTGTAGCCAAAGAGAGGAAGTAAGCCTTCAGAGCACAGGAAGTCTCCTAGTTCCCATAGTTCCCAGGGTCGCAGGAAAAACAGGGGAAACTCGGCTAAGCTTCCCCTTGCTTTGGGGGAAAAAAAAATTATGGCTCATCTCTTTTTCCACTGGAGCATCATTACTTCATTTCTGCAACCACATTCACCCACGGAAGCCTAAACATTAAAATAACTGCTGTGATTGACAGCTGTGGCCTAAGCAACTTAAGAAGGGAGAGGTTTTTGTAGTCACATAGCTTGAGGGTACAGTCCATCATGGATACAGGGACACGAGGTCACTGATGGTCATGTTCTGTGTCCATTATCACAAAGCAGCGCAGAAATGTATGCATTCAACTGGATGGTTCCTTTGTGCCCTTTTTATTGGGCTAGGACTAGAGCCCAGAGCATGGTGTTGCACACGCTCAGAGCAGGGGCCTCTCTCCTCCCTGAACCTCAGAGACACCTCCAGCAGTGCATGTCCCAGATCATTGCCAGTCTGGTCAAGGTGACAATGAGGATGAGCTGTCACAAATTGTTATGAGGATTAGAACTCGGAGTGGGATAAACTAGCCCTAGTTAATAACTCTGCCATGAAAGGGTTTTCTTTGTTCTTTTGGCCGTCAGCCATGAGATGGACTTTGGGTCAGAGTCTCATCCTGCTATTTCCCTCTCATTTGATGCAATGTCCTGCCTGTCATTTCTGGGCATGGGCATGAGACTTGTGGCTCTGGGAGCACTCCCTGAAGTGATTCCTGGGAGGGAGAAAGCAAGGAACCCTTCTGGAAAGGCTCTTCATCAGATACTCATAATGCTGTATGGTTCTGAGCATTCTCCGTACTTCTCAGGGAGGGAAGAAGGGCTTTGCGAGCTCCCACACTGTAGAGTGACAGTCATCTTCAGATGGGTAGCTGAGCAGACCGAAACCAGAAGAGAAAGAGGGAAGCTCTTTGTGGGCAGCTGGTTTGGACCAGCGTTGCCGGAAGTAGGACCTGATGGGAAAATTTGAGGGGCTTTGTTTACTGAGGAGCAGGTCTCATGGGAAACAGAGCAAACATGGGTAAGGAGCTGTGTTGTAATTACTGCTTAACTCGGAGAGTCTGGCCTCAGCTATGTATCACAGATGCTCTTAAAGTAGCTTGCAGAGGCAAGAAGATTGAACTAGTTGACACACATGTCCCCTTGTGACATGGCTTCCCCGGCAGGTGGGTGTCAAGTCTGGGTATCTCCAGGCTGAGGTGTTTCCCTCTAGCCAGTACAATTCTGCAGAGGAGGAGGAGGAAGTGAGGCCTGTTGGCAACACCTGAACTGCTCTAGAATTCTTGGCTTGGTAAGGGGTGTCTAGTTAGGCAAGCAACACAAGTACAACAGCAGCCAAAGAGTTAGAAACAGAGAGTCTGTGCAATGAGCAATTTATGTATCTTACAGATCCTTTGCCATCTTGACCTTTCTTGCTTGGTATAATACAACAAGGACATGTGCTGTTTGGTTGGGTTGGGCCATGAGATGATCCGGAAGGGAAGATGATGGTCCCTCAGGCCACTCCATCCGCCCCATAGGAAGAAGATGGCGATGCGCATGTGACTCATCTGGAGTTGGCTTTGACTCTCCCAGCTTCAGCTTTTGCTAGAAATCACCCCAGTTTGTGTTTACTGGGTGCCTACTGTGTATAAAGTGAACTGGAAAGCACCAAGCAGAGGAAGACATAAAATCCCGCCCTAGTCTTGAGCCTCAAGATCAGCAGTCTGATGGAGGACAGGGGATGGGAGAAAGAAGGCATGTGTGGACCCTAGAAGCCAGATCCCAGAATATACCCTAAAACCAGTGCAGATAAATCCTTGGGGTGGTTGAAGTCAAAGGGGGACAGAAAGGGTTTGTGTTCACGTCCATGTCATAAATGCAATTGCATTCTAAAATATAATAAGTGTACATTTTTAAAAGTTTGAAAAATGAGCCACAAAAAATACCCTGGGGGGGATTGATAACAAAGAAGGACATAAAGTCATGAAGAGAGGAGGCTCACTAGGGAGAGTTGGAGGGAGGTGGTGGTAGATGGATATGATCAAAATACAGTGTATAAATGTATGAAAATTTCAAAGAATAAACAATATTATTTTTTTAAAAAAAATCAGCCAGCAAATAAAATGATAAAATAAGATCCTGACAATTTTTCTACTGGGGTGAGGCTGTAAAAGATAAGTGCACTTCTGGGAAAATGAAAGAGAAAAATAAAGCAGACTATTCCTCTTTTAAATTCCATTTTACCATGAAAGCATCTTCAATTCTTAGCATAGAAGGCAAATTACTGAAATTTTTGCTCATTAATGAAAATTATCTTGAAGTTAAAGGCCAAAGATCCTGCATATTTGGGGAGGGGTGTGGAATGTGGCCCAGCCTTCCCCTTCAGTGCTTCCCCGCTATACACACACACACACACACACACACACACACTCACTCAAACACTCACACACACTCTCACACTTACACACTCTCACACACACCCACACATACTCAAACACTCACATACACTCACATACACACACACTCTCACACACACACACTCTCACACACACACATACTCAAACACACACACACTCACATACCCACTCTCACATGCTCACACACTCACACACACTCACACACACACTTAAACACACACACACTCAAACACTCACATACACTCACATACACACACACTCTCACACATACACAATCTCACACACACACACACACACTCCAAACAAGCCATTGAGGCATCATTCTGTTCATCCATAAGAAGATTTATTAGGGAAGAATTTTCCTCAGCCAACTCTGAAGGCCCCACCTCCATTGTGGGTTTGGGGGAGGCAGTACATGGGACCACATAATATTTTCCCTTTAGTGTCTGATTTACTTCCTTTACCAACGTCTTCAGGAACCATCCAGGTTCTTGCATCTTTCAAAACTGTATGACTTTGTAAGGCTAATGTCTCCATGCAACTTAACACATTTTATTGAATCTGTTCGTGCACTGTGGGCCCATGAAGGATCATAAGCTTTATGATACACGTGACTTTTTAAATAAAGATTTTCGTATATGTTTTGAAAGTTCTTCTCTGTCTGTATGTGAAAGTGTGCACATGAATGCAGTACCTACAAACGCCAAAAGAGGGATATTCCTGACTTGGGTGCTAGGAGCCAAACTCTGGTCTCCCGGTGATGCACACACTTAATTGCTGAGCTCAGTCTCTCCAGCCCACGATATATAAGGTTTTTCCATGTCCAAAGAACTTATGTCCTTCCTTAGAAATAATATCCCCGTATTGAGCATGTTCGTTGAGGATGCCTGCATTGATTGGAAAGCTGGTCTCTGTTTGCCTTATTCCCTAGGTATCAGCTATTAGCATGATGCCTAGCAGGACTGAACAGTCACCAGTGGAATATTTCCCAGAGTCTCCCTTCTTCTAATCCACTACCGTTAAATTGTTCTGGCAATGGCAGGCTCGTTCTGCCATTCCTTCCTTGCATTACCCAGCCAGGCACTCAGCAAGCATGTGTGCCTTCTCTTGGCCATGTGTGCAACCCTGTACTCAACTGGCCTGTGCCTGCCTGCTTTCTTCACAGAAGTGAAAGATTATGAACCCCCGTTTGGGTCCAAGGTGAGGGAGCACCCGTGTGTGGAGAGCATGAAGGACAATGTGCTGAGAGATCGAGGGCGGCCTGAAATCCCCAGCTTCTGGCTCAACCACCAGGTAAGCGGTGCTGGTTTTGAAGGGTCAGAAGGTCCATGCGGAGAAGTCTGCTGTCAGGCTGCAGAGGTCTGGGAGATGGAGCTTAAGTCTGAGTGCAGGGTTCTTGGTTCCCTGTAACCCTGTTGGGGTTGTGTTCCTAAGGACCCATGTAAGTGGATGAGTCTGTTCTCTCACGTGGCATTCACCAGGCTTCTACAGCATTCACAGAGAGCTCTCATATGACTACTGGAGAGCACTGGCCACCTTTCCCAAGCCCTCTTCATTCAGGGTTAAGATATTTTGCTAGCTGATTCTACTATCCACTCCCATGCCTTCATGTCAGGAGCCTACATCTTCCTCCCTCTCACTCTGACTTTGTTCAGCTGGGGTTCTTCGCCTTCACAAGGAAATATTTAGCAGTTGGAAGCAAGCACGGTTTCGGGATAGCTGGTGCCCTCGTAGCTACTGGCTGTGCGCAGAGATGAGCACGTCTTGGCAAGGAGTAGGCTGGCCACCATAATGGAGGCCAGGAAAGCAATTGAGAGGAGCTTGCTGGTGAAGGAGGAGGAGACCAGCCTGTTGAGTGACAGCACACCACACTGCCGTTCCTCCCAAAGAATTGGAAGTTAAGGCTGCTCATAACACAGGTTGAAGGAGAGGGGAAGAAAGGTTAGGTTGTGAGAGTTGACCACATGTGTGATACACCCGAGGAAGAATCTTGATGAAGAAACAGCTGGAACATTGCTTTTCTATCTCACTGGAAGAATGATTCTTTTCCACCCAGAAAAGCCCTTTATTGCTCTCTCGGATGAAGTCCTTCATCCTTGCTGGCCACGGGTGTGTAGGTTTGTCTAAAGGCACGGGGAATTCAAGTGAGAACCAGAAACAGCAAGCCAGGCACAATCGGGAAGACAAATAGGGCAGGAAGCCTGCTTGGAGCCAGCCCTGGCCCAGAGCCAGCCCTGTGATCAGGGAGTAGGTGATCCCAGCTTCCCAGGGTCAAGGTCTTCACCAGACTCTCAGACAAATTGTCTTTGATTCTAAACATGCAAGGCTGTTGGAAAAAGCTCAGGAACCAGAAGGTGCCAGAATGGTATGTCCTACTGAAACTGTCACCATCTCTAGAGGTCTCTCCTGCAAAGTTCTTATAATGAAGCCGTTATTCATTATGATAAAATTCTGGAAAGAATTTGCATAATACATTTTTTTTCTCTTAATGAGATTTGTTGCCCTATTGATTTCAAGGTAATGCTTAATATTTAATTTAATTTACTGCCTGTAATTACTGTGTCAGAGCAAAATAAATGTTTCTGGTATAGCAACAATAACATTCTACTCTTAACAGGGCCATCAATCAATACCATTAGTTAGGTGAATTATGCAATTAATTCTACATCAAGAACTGGGGGTGGAGAACTCCCTAGATGCTGTGAAAGTTGCTGGTATGGGCAGGCGAGTGGCAATTCTCCCCAGAGAGTGTTAGAAGCGTCTATTCCACCTGTGTGGAGGTCACCAAGTGCAGTGTTGGCCTCTGCATGGAAGGAACTGATCTTTCCACCTCTCAGACTATTTACTTACCTTCTGATTTTCCGAAAGGGCTAAAAATAATAACAGAACTCTTTTTGATGCAAAATGAAATCCAGGCTGTGGTATAGCAACTTTGCTCTATGGACAAACTTTTGTGCATAGGGTGAGGTTCAGTGGGTGGCGCTGTCTGGGGAAGGACAGGTTATAAAATATCTTCCAATCAGCCGGGAAGTGGGGGTGCAGATCTTTAATCCCAGCACTCAGGAGGCAGAGGCAGAGGAAGGCAGATCTCTGTTGAGTTCCAGGCCAGCCTGGTCTACAAAAACTACACAGAGAAACCCTGTCTTGAAAAACCATAACAAGAACAGCAACAATTAAAAATAAATAAATAAATAAAATAAAAAACCCTTATAATGAGGTGTATCTGGCATACAAAGACAACCATGCCAAAAGGCCTACCTTAATGCCCCTGGAAGTGACTGGAGCACCATGGAGTCACGCTTGGCAGTCCTGGGAGCAACTTCTGAGTCATTCTATGAAATATGTATTTTACAAAGTGAACCCAGGTTAATGCCTGTCCCACTCTGGGCTTGGAAAGAGAAGAGACCTGTGATCCAGCCACGTTACATTCTAAAAGAGTAAATCTCAAGAGGCTGAGGAAGGTAAGGCAAGAGAGAGCACAGGCCTAAGGTGGGAAACTGGGTCTCTAGGAGCCCATAATGGATCTATTGCTTGCAGTCTACACCATGTGTGCCGTCAAGGGTGGACCCTAGGTACTAGAGAGATGGCCCAGTTAGCAAAGGGTTTGGAGATGAGCATGGGGGCCCGAGTTTGGAGCCATGGTACCCGTGTAAAAAGCTGGGTGCCATGATGCGTGCCTGTAAGATGCGTAGAGGAAGAGGTGACAGAAGGGTCCCACATCAGCGGACTCTGGGCTCAGTGAGAAACCCTGTCTCAAAAACTAAGGTGGACAGTGACTGAGGAAGACACCTGCCTTCACCCTTTGACACACACACACACACACACACACACACACACACATCTACACACACACACACACACACACACACGTGACCACAGAGAGAGACTGAGTCCTACTCTGATAGGACACCATTTGATAAAGATGTATTGATGCTAATTCCACGGAGACCAACCACTGACAATGCTCTTGGGACCCTTCCCTTTCTCCACAGGGCATCCAGATTGTGTGTGAAACCCTGACAGAATGCTGGGACCATGATCCTGAGGCCCGCCTCACGGCCCAGTGTGTGGCAGAGCGCTTCAGTGAGCTGGAGCATCCGGATAGACTCTCTGGAAGGAGCTGCTCCCAAGAGAAGATTCCAGAAGATGGCTCACTGAACACTACCAAATAGCTTTTTCTGGGCAGGCTAGGCCAAACCTCCAGAAGCCGCACTCTTACCAAAGACCAGAGGCAGCTGGAAGCTGGCCTGACTTACGCTTCTGGGAAACCAGGGACTTGCTCCCGTCTTCCCTGATAGTTGGTCCATGTTCAGAAACAGCAGCAGGGGCTGAGTGACGGAGAGCATTCTATGCCTTGGACATTGTCATGGCATAAGCTGTATTAACGCCTCCTCAGGAAATGAGATTGATTTTTACAGCAGCCAATAACATTTGCACTTTATTAATGCCTGTATGTAAATATGAATAGCTATGTTTTATATCTATATATCTATATATCTATAATTGTCTATATCTCTTATCTATAGCCATACTCTGCAAGGAGACAAAGAAAAAGATCAAATGTTCCCAGAGAATTAGCTTTTACTGGAGAGCGCCAGAATGGATCAGAAGGGACCCGGGACTGTATTAGCACTTGACAATCACACACGATGGCCCCCTGAATGTGTGGGGTTGGGGGACAGTTGCATGAGAAGGATCCATGCCTCACAGCCTGCTTTGGCCACAGAACACTCTGTTTTGCAAAAACACCAAAAGGGTGCTTTTGGCCTGGGAGCTTAGTTCCAGCCCACTGCCGTGTCCCAGGGTCTCCCGTGTGCTTTGCTTTTCTTCTTCATGCTTTATCATCGACGTTCAAGCCCCACTTCAACTTGTAAACCTCGGGGTTTAACCTAGAAACTTGGCCCCATCTTCCTACTTTCATAGTCTACCAAAGTCAAAGAAGACCGTCTCCCCACCCACGAAATCGTCCCATCGTCTGCTAGTAAGGTTGGGTAGTTTGCATTTTCTCTGTGCCTATGTTACTATTCTTCATTCCCAGCTATTATCAGTAGTTGTTGTTGTTGAATGTGGCACACCCCACACCCGGCATCCGCAGCTCACCGAGTTTAATTTTTATCATTCTCCTGCTGGAGTGTCCAGCTTGCCACAGCAACACCAAAGGGTTCTGTCTTCCCAGGCTCCCAAACAGCAGACAGGATTTGAAGGACACACACTGCCCGTACTGTACAACTGTGTCCGGGGACACTTTGAGCCCATGTTTTACTTGGTCGGCACAGTGGCTGAAAAAGTTGAGCTTCATTTTAAGTATTTGAGATGTGGCAGGAAAAAAAAAAATCTCCATTCTAGATAAGGAGGGAGGGGTTCCTGGACCCCACTCTAGGGGGCATCATTCACAGCAAGAAGGTTGACTGATGTGGCTCCTTCATTTCTCAGGGTTAGGTGGCCTTCACGTTACCCATCCCAGACTGGAAATGAAAGGCTGCCCTGGGTCAAGATCCATTGTAAGAACTGAGCGATCGTAAGCCTGGGGAGATAGATGAGCAAGTGAAAACGAGTGCCTCATAAGCAAGGAAACCCGAATTCGATCCCCCAGAACCCATGAAAAACGCCACGTTCACTGCCTCCAGAGCCAGGTGAGCAGTCTCACCACAAACAACATCTGTCTATGACCTCTGACCTCCAGACACACATGCACCACATGTACACCCTCACGCACATGCACACACTGGAAATGTGCATTCTCGTCACCTCGCTTTGGTAACATGTTGGACTGTTCATTCCTTGTCTGAGGTTATGATTTGAAGCCGACCATGATTTGGACCCCGGGATCTCCTGTGCGTGTGTGATCCCATTAGGTCAAGTTTCCTTTGTGTGCCTAGTCAGTTCCTTTTTTTTTCTCTGCTCTCCCGATCCTTATGGTTCTCGGTCTCTGCGTGGTCCTAACCTCCACAGAAACTATGAGTGAGGACCTAAATAGGGGACACACAAGAGTCCCGTGTAGAGTCGGAGAATCTGTGTCCACTTGGATGGGAGCAAAGAACAAACTTTAATAGGAAGCTTGTTAATCTATCAACAAATGTGGGTACAGCAAGTGACAATCTCTCTTTTTTTAAAATGTGTTTTGAAGCTACATGTTTTCAACCAAATACGAGCATGGTTTGAAGAACCACCTTTTGTTCTGTCTGGACCATGGGAGGCACAGGGGGGTTTAGGATACATGGTAAAGTTGTGGGTGGGGCAAAAAATCCATGCACTCTGCCCCGTGGAAGTGTGCTGTGCAACACCTTGGAAATCTCCCCAAGTCCACTTGCACCATAGGGCTTGCTGATGTCCTCCCAGTAGCTGTTGTTCGCCGCCCTCTAGTGGCGAGTTTGTAGAATACTGGTCCACTAGTGGGATTTCCGGGATTCAAAAGTGATTTCAGTTCCAGATCGTCATCAGAAACTGGAACGCATTGTCATGTTATTGTGGCTTGTTTTGTTTATGTCATTTTTTTTCTTATTCAAGAAAAAGACCAAGGAATAACATTGTTGTCATTCCTAAAAAAATGTTGACTTTTGTTCACTACTCTGCATAAAGGGAAGATTTTATTCTTTTATTGAACACTTCAGCCATACTTCATGTATTAAAATAGGAATGTGAATGCACAATATTCTTTTTATATCAAAATCTAAAGCACTTATTTTCATTCTATGCCATTTGTCTTTTATATAAATAAAAATGTCTAGTAGATCAAATAAATCAAAAGTTTATGGACGGCCTTGCCCCTTGTTGCTATTCCCATTAGCTAAACCCACCTCTCATACTGGACTATTCTGCAGCACGGCAAAAAATGTCATCTACTTTTCCACATGGGTTGTCTTTTAACAGTGTTGCAAGACATTTTCCCCAGGCACATGCACACACCATGTCTGTTCACATCAGATTATGGTGCCAGAGACAAAACAAGGCAATGATTTCATCCAAGTCCCATTTGGCAAGAAAATGTGTTAGCATGCTTACATATGGAGTGTGCAAATGGGTCAGCATGCTTACATACAGAGTGTGCAAATGGGTTAGCATGCTTACATATGGAGTGTGCAAATCTGTTAGCATGCTGACATATGGAATGTGCAAATGGGTTAGCATGCTTACATATGAAGTGTGCAAATGGGTCAGCATGCTTACATATGGAGTGTGCAAATCTGTTAGCATGCTGACATACGGAATGTGCAAATGTGTTAGCATGCTTACATATGAAGTGTGCAAATGGGTTAGCATGCTTACATATGGAGTGTGCAAATCTGTTAGCATGCTGACATACAGAGTGTGCAAATGGGTTAGCATGCTTACATATGGAGTGGGCAAGTGGGTTAACATGCTTACATACAGAGTATGCAAATGTGTTAGCATGCTTACATATGGAGCGTGCAAATCTGTTAGCATGCTGACATACGGAATGTGCAAATGGGTTAGTATGTTTACATACGGAGTGTGGCACAGGGTAAGCTAGAGGGGTGTGAATGACCTACCAAAGAGTCTTACCCCTGTGTGCACGATGGCTTCCCCATAGCTGCATAGACTGAGCCCCCCTCCAGCTAGCCTTCCTCCATCCTCAACTCTAGCATACCCTGAGACCAGGAAATCACTGGCCACTTGACCAGAGTTACATACTTCTGGGAGGGAGGTGATGGAAGAACACAATCTAAGGTGAGGATCTGTCCACTCCTTCGATGACCCCCTCCCGGATGTACGCAATGATGACCCTGCCCTCTCCCTACTTCTGTGAGGGATGGCAGCAGGGCCAGCCGTGAAGACCTCCTGCAGGTAGTCCACAGCTGCTCTGATGGATGGAATTGGCTCTTACGTTGTGGGAGAGTATTCTACAACCGACTCAGTTCCCTTTGAAAACAATCCAGGAGAGATAGGACAGTCGTTTAAGAGCAAGGGCAGATCCCAGGCGAAAAAGGTACAGGTGTGCTTACAATCCCAGCTGGGAGGCAGAGGCATGTTCCTTGGGACTTTCTGGTCAACCAGCCTAGCCTACCTGAGCCCTGGGTCTCGATGAAGAGACTGTGTCAAGATTTAAGGAACAGTATCGGAGATTCACCTCTGGCCTCCCTGCCCACATCTGCACATGTTCACTTGCCTGTGTACACACAAGCACACACACAACCAAAACTAATCCCTGACAGAAGCCTGCTGTCCCTTGTCAACCCTGTGTCCAAGCATGGCGGCTCTTGCTGTACCAGTGTGGTCTCTCCCCCCATCCCAGAGACTGCTTTGGAGCTTGTGGCTGTTCCAGGATTGTCACACATGGCTGCGTCACACATGGGCATGCTTCAGGGAATGGGCATGTGCCACGTGTCCTCTTACCAGCATGGGAACAACTGCCCGTGTGCCCTTGATAGTCCATACAAAGCTTTGTACTTGTGTTTTGAACTTGGAGAACCCTGCCTGCCTCTTGGAGAATATTAATAATTATGCTTTGCATAAAGGAAGATTTATAGGAAAGTCCTAGGTAACATTAAAGACAGAGAAGGGGGAGGAAACGCATGGTACAGGCCAGGAACCAGAAAGGGTTATAAAGGAAACACCTACTTGGTGATCATTAACCCTGGTCCTCCATGGCCCAGGAGGGAGGGAGGAGGCCCACCTCCCAGGGAAGAATTGAATCCTCAGAACAAATCCCAGTTATCCAGGAACTAGAATTCTGAGTAACTCCCTCTTCTGTGTTTCATGTTGTCTCCTGATTAAAAAGTGGCCACCCAGTGGGACAGAGAGGCCACCATTGGGTGAGGTAGCCTACATTTACATGCCTTCTGCCTCCCAAGTCTGTTTACTCCAGGAGAGCCAGGGTGTTCTTTCCTCTTAATCTGCCTAGCACTCCCTAGCAAGTCTGAAGACATGCTTTGCTGAGAAAATGGGTGAGTGAGCATAGCGTTTCTTCAGGTGAGCTGGTATCTAAGGTTCCACCATCTGGCAGCCGTCAAAGGCATGCTGTTGTTTTGTTTTTTAGCAAATACACCTTTATTTCAACAGGTGTTAGAAAGACAGTAGAACGAGAAGTCTGGGTTTTCACAGACTTTGCCTTTTAAAGTCATCAGGGGAAAACTACTTATTCGCCGCCATCCCCGGAGATGAGTTTTGAGGGCTGCCAATTCTTGTCTAGAAATAGAGACAGCTTTCTAAATCAGGAGTGGGGTGGGCTGAGGGAAGAGCCCCCCACCCAAACCTCTGACCATCTGGCCTATAGCCCTTTACAGGGCTCTCCTAGTCCTTGCCTCTCCTACTTATACACCACCACCACCTCCCAGCACATGCATGTTTAGGCATGCTCTGTTCCTTGGATGAAGCCCAGGTAAGCTCGGGCTTCCAGTCTTCCTGGACAGGCTGGGTTCTTTTGTATATTCATCTAGATGTTTCCATTCAGTTCCTACTCCGGTTTACAGGAGTATTTTAATGACAACAGCCAGGCTCTGGAATCAAACAGCCCACCTTGAATACCAGTGAAGTTAGCAGCATCGTGGTCTGACTCTTTGGGAGTTGTGTTACTTTTCTGGGATCAAGCAGGGAAGAAGTATGGGTTTACAGTTCAAGGCAATGAAAGATATGTGAGAGCCAAAGTTGCATTTTAAGTTTTAGCTACTGTGCCTAAGAGATCCATGAAACAAAAACACCTCTGACCTGTAAGCTCCTTGCCCAAGGACAGACACTTCCTGAAATGCCAGAGGCTGTTATTTAATGGCAGATAACAAGCCACTTATTTTCTCTCTCCTAAGCTAGTTTGTTGGACTCAACTGCACTGGATGCATTTAATCACATGTAGGTAGGGAATGTATGGGCAGGAAATATGTCAGGATGTACATTTAGCCCAATTGGATGTAGGCTGGAGGTATTTCAGGATGTACCCTTGCCCCTGATTGGATGTAGGTGGAAGGTACACAGGCAAGAAGTATGTCAGGATATACAGTTGCCCCTGATTGGACCTGGTGGGAAACACATGGCATTATGGGGTTGCCTTTTTTAGGACTCTTCAAAATGTGACTCATCTTCATTTTCTGAGAATCCAGGAATAGACCTGGCCAGAGCCTATCGTCCTGGTCAGTATATAATTAAAGCTTGCTCGAAATTGTATTGTGATAGTGGTCTTATTCTAGTCCGGTGGGATTTACAGATATGGCAGCAGGAACAGGAGGCAGGTGGTCACGTTATCAAAATCATAAAACAAAATTCAGAAGGGAACCCTGATGACGTAGTAGTTCGTCAGTAAGGATCCACCCCCTCAAAGTTCCACAGCTTTCCAAAATCCCACTGCCAGCTAGGGCTCGAGAGTCCTCTAGGGGGCATTCACACTCAAAGCACAGCACTAGACAAAACTACAGAAGAAGGGATGATGCCCTCAGCATCCGAGAGAGGGGAGTCACCAGCCAGAGCACAGGAAGACATAGTCATTTCCCCCCAAATGCACAAGGTCTTTGGGCTCAGACCCAAGAGCCTCAGCCCAAACAGAAGCCACCTGGGACCTTCCTCCTGCTGTTCCACCCTGGCCGTTTGAGTCTGGCTAGGGAGGTCAGGAGTATTAGCCCTTGGCATCAAGCACCCTCTGCAGGGAATCCTTCCCTCCTGCCAATCACTGTCTTTTAAACGCAGGGCTTGCTGGACCCCAGGAGTGCCAGTTTTTTGGTGACCTTTTCCTTTAAAAAAAAAAAGAAAGAAAGAAAACTCTGTGTGCAAATGACACGCTAATGACCCCATCTTGAGGGAACTTGCTTCCCCAGGTGACAGGAACTTTTCATCTCAACAAGTCTTTTCCACAGGCAGAGGCTACCCCAGTTGGCATCTGCTCATCTTGTTCATTCCCCCCCTGAAGTAACTGCCTAATCATTGCTTATCACATTTCTAATTAGCTTCTGCTTGCTTCATACTTTACGGGTTGGGGGCCAGGCCTTTCCGGCCTGCTTTGCAAACACTGCTGATCAAGACAAGATTGTGAACTTCCCACTTCCCCGGACCTGCCAATCAGTCACACAGGGGATAATCTCATTCGAATGTATTCGAATGTTTGGTGCACTTAAAAATAACTCGTTAATCATCTTCCTGTTCTAATGAAGCAGAAATTGCACCTTTATTTTATTATGATGTTTGAGAATTTCATGCACGATTAACTAATGTTTACATTGTTTCTCCCCATCCTCTTCTTCCCGACGCCTGCCACTCCTCCTCGACTTCGTGATTCCTCCTTTTTTAATTACTACTGCTACATTTCCAAAATAATCATCCCAAAATAATGCAAATGCTAGAGAGATGCTTATGGTGTGCATACTCTGCTCTTCCATCGTAAGCCTGAATTATTCAGGCTGCCTTATAGGACAGGATGACTTTAGGTTAAGGCTGTTAAGCAGAAAACCAAAGAGATCCTTTGAGATTCCATGTCCTGGGCTTCTTTCTGAATGTCCCCAGACAGTGTGAGGGGCTCTGAGTTAGAAGACAGAAAGCAACATCTGTCTTGAACACTAATAAGCATCCAGCTGTACACACATTATGATAACTAACAAAGTTCTGCTGTTAATTTTAAAAAAAGAGTAGGGGATGGGACTGGAGATGAATCTCAGATAGTAAGTGTTTGCTGGTCTTTCAGAGGACTAGAGATGGATGCCCAGCACCCATGTTTGGCCCTTATGAATTCCTGTAACGCAACTGACAGGGATCTAGGCTCTTTACTGGCTTCTGCAGGCACTTGAACTCCAGTGCACAAATTTTCAGACATACACACA